ATGATTTTCAAAGATTTAAGTTGAACGAAACTCAGATCAACTATTCAATTTTTTAAAAAATTATGGTGACATTGGTTAATGAAATCCAGTAAGTTTAAGGCGTACAATTTATGTACATTGTGTGTTCACCACCCATAGTTAGATTTCTTTCTGTCACCACATATTTGACCCCCTTTACTCCATCTATCTCTTCCACCCTCCTCCCTCCTCTACCTTCTGGTAACCGCTAGTCTATTGTCCATGTCCACGAGTCTCTGTATGTTTGTCCTGTTTGTTTGTTGCTTTTAGGTTTATATCCCACAAATAAGTGATATCATGTGGTTTTCAACTTTTTCTGTCTGGCTTATTTTGCTTAGCATGATTATCTTAAGGTCCATCCATGTTGTTGCAAATGGCAGTATTTCATCTCTTCTTATGGTTAATATTCCATTGTATATATGTACCACAGCTTCTTTATCCAATCATCTATCATAAGACACTTTGGTTGCTTCCATGTCCTGGCCATAGTGAACAAAGCTGCTATGAACATCGGTGTGCAAATGTCTTTTCAGATATGGGTTTTCAAGACTTTAGGGTACATACTCAGTAGAGGGATTGCTGGATCATATGGTAGATCAATTCTTAGTTTTTTGAGGAACCTCCATACTGTTTTCCATAGTGGCTGTACCAATTTGCAGTCCCACCAGCAGTGCACGAGGGTTCCTTTTTCTCCACATCCTCTCCAACACTTGTAATTACTTGTCCTGTTGATAATAACTATTCAACTATTCAGTTGTTGACATAGACTCATTAGAAGGTGAGTAGCTGGGATCTTTCAACAACAGAAGAGTTGAGATTATGCTGAGCAAATTAGTCAGACAGAGAAAGATAAATTCCATATGATTTCACTTATATGTAGAATCTGAAGAACAAAAAGAGCAAACTAACCGAAAACAAACACAAATATAGAGGACAATCTGGTAATAGCCAGAGAGAAGGGGGGTGGGAAGGGTGGGAGAAAGGGATTAAGGGTTAGAGAGGTACAAATTAGTAGCTGATAGATGATTACGGGGATGGGGAGCATGACATAGGGAATGCAGTCGGCAGTGATGTAATGGCTACGTGTAGAGCCAGAGGGAAGATAGAGTAATGAGGGAGATCATTTTATAAACTCTGTAAATATCTAACCAGTGTGCTGTATACTTGAAATTAATAATAAAAAATGATAAAAACAATGACAAGAATTGAGATCTGAATTAGAAAAACTAACCCATTGGTGAGAGAGTTTGCAAAACCATTGACTTGGAACACTGGAGACCTGCCTTTGGGCCTGGAGTGGTGCACCTGTGGGTGAAATGCTTGGCCTTTTTGGGCTTTGGTCTCTCTTTGTGAAAATGAGGGAATAGATGGATGCTTATGAAAATTCTTTTCAGCTCAATCTATGTGACTTTGTCTTCTCAGTGACAAAATGGAGTTTTGTAGATTTTAACCACGATTTAAGAAGTTTTTTGCTTGAGGCAGCGGATAATAGAGGAAGCATAATGTGGTCATTAATAATGTTGATTCTGGAGTGAGATAGCCTGGGTTTGAATATCGCTCCATTATTTATTAACAGTTATGACTATGGCAAATTACTAACCTTACTGTGCTTCAGTTTCCCATCCATACAATGGGGGTAATAAAGTACTTATTTCATTGGGTTATTGTGAGGAGTGAATAAGTTAAGATCTACAAAGTCCTAGAAGAATGCCTGACACATGATAAATCCTGTATATGGGACTGCTTTTATTATTGTAATAGAGCCACTATTCACCTCTGTTGTTGCTCAGTGTTCCCAAGAGGGATGGCAGGTTTTGTGTTTAGGTGGAGAATTCCCTGAGATCCTTGGGGAATGATGCTTAGAATAACACGGTAGTTGTATTTATAATCCCATAAGGAGCAATAGCCAGTTATACTGCAGCCCGCCTGTATGCATACACTCCCACATGGACTTACTGTTCTTCCCACTGCTCTGCTCTTCTCACAAAGGAAGCAATCTCCTGGCATATTTCAGGGTAGAAGTAGCAGAGTTCTCTATTACCTCACTCTGAAAAATAAGTTAGATATGGCTCTAGCGTCCTGATGCAATGATGTCTGATGATGTACACAGTAGCTAAGGACATAACTTATATGTTTAAATCCCAGCTTTGTTACTGTGCTACCTTTGTTGCCTAGGACAGCTTACATAACTCCTCTGTGCCTCTGTTTCCTATCTCTACAATGAGAATAATAATAATAATATCTAGTTCATGGTGTAGCTGTGATGATTAAATGGAATAATATACGCAAAGTCCCAAGAAAGGTGCCTGACATATAGTATATATTTAGTAAATGGAAAATGTTATGATTACTATTAAGATTATTATATCAAGTGAGGAGAATCTTTGCTCCATGGGTGATCAGTGACTCACTGGGAAAAAAATCAAGGACCGCATATGGGTAACTTAATGACTTCTAATTACTTATTTTATACATGTGGAAATTTCCATGAGCTAACTCACTAAAATTGAAATGGATGATTTATGACTACTTAAATTTAAAAAAAAATGACCTAGTAATACCAATGGAATGGAATCTGAGTTGGAAAGATGTCTAATCCAACCACCCCTCCCATGCATTTTCTCCCTTACTCCTTCCCAGGTGCTTAGCTGGCCCTACACTCTAAAGGTGGAATGAGTTTAATTTTGTTCCAATAGGTGTCTAGATCTCTTCTGTATGGGAGGGTTCTCCCCATACCACAGTGCTATGTTGAAACATGAGCATGTTGAGACATGAGCAGACTGCCCGTGGTGGTGGCTTTCTGTGGGGACAGTGTTGGAGTATTAGTGGGAAACCTAGTCTCTTCTGACACTTAGCTTTTCAGGTCCTCCCATGGTGCTGGTCACAGCCAATAAAATTTAGTGAGCTGATAACAATGTGCTCTCATGTTCTTAGATTCATTGTTCCATGAAAGAGAGAAGCAGATCTAATTTTAATGCCTGTGGTCAGGAAGTTTTGAGTTGGAGGATTTAGGTCTAGAAAAGACCTGGGAAATGATCCAGACATTAGAAACAATCCACAGACGTTGAAACAGGGCCAGAGAGCTTAAGGCGCTTGACCACAGGGACTCAGCTGGTCAATGTAAGCATGTAGAATAAGAGTTATTTCCAACTCTCTCTGGTTCTCCAGCATAGTGATTAGAGACATGACCTAGAGAAACAGGCTGCCTTGATTCGTCTTGATTCTGCCCCTTACTGGCAGTTGTAGACTTTTTCTGCCTCAATTTTCTTACTTGGAAAATGGGAACAATAATAGGGGTCTCATGTAGATTAAATGAGATAATATGTGTATGGCATTTAGGACAGTTCCTGGCACATAAAAAGTATCCAAAAGTGTTTGTTATTATTGTCATTCCAGAGAACCTCAGAAATATAAACACTTAAATAAGCCATAGAATAAAAATTTTGACCAGGCTGGTGTTGGAAGTATTTTTCTCACTTAAAATTTTTTTCTTAGCTTCTGATTTAGAAGTGATCTTCAGGACCCATCTGTGAAGTAACAACCATATTCTTCCCCAGAATCATTGTGGCTTTTGGATGGAAGGAGGAAATGTTTAAAAAATAACTCCCCATTAGTTATCATTTCCAATTCATATGCAGCAAATATTTACAGAGTAGTCTGCCATGTGCCTGGCACAGAGATAGGGCCTGGAGGGAGGCAAAAGTGGGCCTTCTGCTGTGCCCCTTTCTCTCCCGGTGTGTATAGGCTAGGTGGTATGATCGGCAATTAAATAGGTAATTCTGTCACAACACTGGAGGGAGCACTAACAAGGCATGACAGAGAGTCATTTTACATCTTGTGGAAGGAGCCCTGCACCTGATGTAAGGGGCCAAGGAAAGGCTTTTGGCAGCAGTGATGTCGATGCTGAAACCTGAATGATAAGCTAAATTCTCGAATAGTTTAGATGGGGGCTGAAGAGTATTCCAGGCACAGGGAACCATGGATGAGTATGTTGGGGGGTGGGGGTCTTCAGCTGGGAGAAAACACTGGGTATTTGCCAATTTATTCAACATTGAATGAGTGTTTATTAAGCACTAACTGCGCAACAGGCATTTTTTTACATAATGGGCACACATCATTTAAGAAAACAGAAGACGTCTTTATTTTTATGGACGTTATGGGAGAGAAGAGAGAAATGAAGCGCTATGAAGAGAACTGCTTAAGGAAGGATGATCAGGGAAATGTTTAGGGTGAAGTGACAGTTGGGCTGACACGTGAATGGTGAGAGCCATGCAAACACCTGGGGAGGGAGGTTTCCGGGCAGAAGGAACAATAAAGGCGAAGGATTTAAAGGTATGAACAATCTGGACGTGCTGGAGAAATTGAAAGAGGACCAGTGTGCTAGAGATGTGGGGAAAGTGGTATGAATAATTCAAATGGTGTTTGGGTTGGGTTCTTGGTGTTGAGAAATGCATCAGAATGTTTTTAATATAAGCTAGATCTCGATTTCTCTCTCTCTCTCTCTCTCTCTCTCTCTCTCTCTCTCTCTCGGAAAATCTCGGTTGCAAATATCTCCTCTCTGAAGTGGGGCTTGGCTCAGTGAGCTTTCATAACTGAGATGAGGCAAAGAACATGTTTTCCATCACCGATGACCAGAGCTGCACATAAGGCACAGACATGGATAACTGTTAAGAATGTGTGTGGGCAACATAACAAATCAGACGGGCTGTCAGGTCAAAAAGAGGGCTCATTGTAGTAATTAGCATTGTCCCAATGGTTTCTCCTAGGTTTTAGCCATAAATTTCTAATTATTCTCATAAGCCTTCTCTTCCTGTTTTATTTGTTTGACTCAAATTTGTGTTTCAAACGGGCTTTAAATTCTTTCTCTCCAATTTGAGACTGCTTGATCCAGACTAAACACCCATGTTCTCTATTTCTCCCATTGTCTATCTCTGTATTCTCACGGGCCTCACCTGAGACTCATGGCTTTTGTTTGCTCCCAGTTACCAGCTTTGGAGATGATGAAGAGCCATGCACATCTTCAGACACTGACGAGGAGGTGATCAAACAATTTGAGATTTCTGTGTCCCGGTCCCAGAGTTTCCGCTCACGAGCATCTGAGAACAGAAAGCAGACAGGATTGGAGCAGAACCCAAAATTCTGCCGCTTGCTCTCGACGGGTCGAGAGGACAGCACAGAAGTGTCTGCTTGTGAAGGTATTCTTTGCATTGGACCCTTTCTTTGTCTAGACCAGGGATAGCCACTGGGAAGGATGTTTTGGAGTCACGTAACTACTGCACTTTCATCTGAGAGTCCAGAGAGGAAGAGAGAACGGGGCAGGACCCAGAGGCTGGGACAGTGTAAAGGGCTGTTTCAAACCTCGCAGGGGTCTTGTCCTGCAGGGAACTAGGGAAGGAAATGGATCAGAAGTGCCGAAGCCTTGACCCCATTTGCTGGGCCCCCTTCCTTCTTTGTTATTTTTGCTTTGTTCGTTTTGAATTCTAATGACTAGAATAGTATTTATCAAGCTTTATAAAGTCTTGTTTCCTTCTGATAAGTACAAAAATTTCACTTACCTTTCCACTGACATTGAGATGCTCCCCTTTGGAAGGAGAGTCTATTTTCCATGTATTTATAGAACCTCAGAAGGTTTTTAAAGCCTTTCTCTTAATTGCTTGTATTACTAAGTCAATAGGTATGTTTTATTTTCCAAATAAAAATATGTATTATAATAACATTGAATAACCTTTTTCCAAACGATGCATGCCCTGTACACTCTCCCTCATTCCCTGTAGTTTCTGGACACCCCCACTCCAGCCCCATCCTACATGAGAATTACTCGGCAAGAGTGAGGTCTTATGCCATCTTCTAGCATCTTCATACCAAGTTTACCTTTCACAAAGGGGAGGAGGGATACTCGGAGGTAGTGTAAGCACAGCTTGTGACAGTGGGTAGACCTTGATAAGAGTCCTCCTCCATCCCAACCACTAAGGCAAAATAGCCTAGAAAAAAAACAGTACAATATTTCTTTTATGCCCAGAACCCTGCACAGGACGTCAGGACAGGGAAAGGTCTGTGAAGTGTATTGGGTAAAAAGCTTGTGAAAATGTCACAATATATCCTCCTTAGTGACCTGTTCTAAATGACCTGGATTCTCTAATATGTTCTTTCTTTCCTTTTGGGCATGTCATTACTCAAACCAGTGGAAGCATACTTGTAGCTCTACCATGTTTTTCAACACAGAACAGTAGAAAGAGGAAAAGGAAAGCTCAAAATTGTAAGAGATAACAGAGAAGAAATTTCTGACTTGTCATAAGGATGAGGCAGGCAAAAAAAGAACAGAAAAAAAAGGAGAATTAACAACAACAAAAACCTCTATTTATCAGTGGGAATATTATAATTTACTATCCATCATGTAATTTTATTTATTGATATGGGCTAACATAACATATTTTATTGCTATTCTTTTTAGCCCAAGAAAAGCCAAGAAATAAATGCTTTATGTAACCAAAGCATAGTACTGACACTGGCATTTCCTCACACCTCCTCCTGTTTGTCTCTCGTTCCACTGAAAGGGCAAATGTTAGCTAATGAAAGTTAATAGCAGTTAATTCCCTAGCAGTAGCTTGTTTAATTCTAAAGATAATGGCCCCATTTCCCAGAAGCCTAACTATCTAGTTTCTGACTTATAGTATTGACCAATATTCTGAGAGTTCTGATAACCACTCTAACCCTTACCATTCTTGAAATTAGCACAACCTTTGTCATAACTGGTGATTCTGAATTTTTTGACAGATGGTGATAGAAAAGGTAAAATTTTCTCCACTAAAGAGAGGAAAAAGTCCACTATATTGAATGAATTACCTATAGATTTTTGGGAAAAATTAGCAGGATTTTTCTAGAAATGAATAACTGCATGCTAAATTTTAGCTTATCAAATGCTAGGGAAATGTTAATGTAATTTTTATTTTATATTCTATTTTATTTTATTTATTTCTCCTCCTCCCCCCTCCTCCTTAAATTTTAGCTTATCAAATGCTAGGGAAATGTTATTGTAATTTTTGTTTTATATTCTATTTTATTTTATTTATTCCCGCCCCCCTCTGGTAACCACTAGTCCATTGTCCATGTCCATGAGTCTCTGTTTGTTTATCTTGTTCATTTGTTCCTTTTAGGTTTATATCCCAGATATAAATGATATCATGTGATTTTCAACTTTTTCTATTTGGCTTATTTCGCTTAGTATGATTATCTCACAGTCCATCCAAGTTGTTGTAAATGGCATTATTTCATCTCTACTTATGGCTGAGTAATATTCCATTGTATATATGTACCACAGCTTATTTAGTCAACCATCTACCGTAGGACACTTCAGTTCCTTCCATAATGTAATATTTATTGAATTCTTTTTTTTCTGTGTCATTTCTTTTTGTTTGTCTTTATCAACCATCTATCGTAGGACACTTCAGTTCCTTCCATAATGTAATTTTTATTGCATTATTTTTTTTCTGTGTCATTTCTTTTTGTTTGTCTTTAGTTTGGTGAATTTGTTTCAACGATAAAGAATAATGAAGAGATTAAGGGTCCACAGCAGAGAGGACTTTTTTTTTTAATTAATTGTTCTCTATTTAACTATTTTCCACTCTGCCTTAAACATGATTTTCTAAGATCAAATTTAATTGCAGGCAATTCTTACTTTAAAAATGTACTCAAAATATCAGATCAATGAAATTAAAGGTCTAAATTTGAACCAGGAATAAATTACTGGTAGGTTGTCTCATGTTTCATCTTAAGTAAGATCCTTCATTCTAGATTGAGTGGTGAGGTTGTTAGAACCAAGGCAATGGTATCTTCATATTTCAGACAGGTTCTCTCTTATCTCATGTATCTAATTTAGTGTTATTTGGCATTAATTGTCACTGCATTCCTGACAATGTCAAAGAGGGTTTGGGCTAAGTGATCTGGATCAGAGGTTGTGCATCAAGTCTTTGGGTATGAAAGGTGGGCTGCAGAATAATAGTTTACTTATAGGAGGTTTTTTTCCTTTGGTTATCATGCAAGGCTTTATTTTTGCTTGTGAAATATTTAGTTCTTAGGATAGCACTTAATAGCTAGACGTTACCTTCCTTGTGTCATTAATAACAGCTCAATTATGCTCAAAATTTGTGGTCAGTTGTGTTTGAGATGGTGTATCAATCAGGATTTTATATATGTCAAGATGATATCAGGGATCTCTTTATACATATATAAAGAGATATTCTGCGAAGAAGAGAGCACTTGTGGGGGCTGGCTAGGCAAGAGAATCACACAGCTCTGAAATCTGTAAGACAGGCTGTTGGGAAGAGTAGGCTGAACCTCTCAGGTAGGAGCCCAGGCTGCAGCCCATAGATGAAATTTCTTCTTCTCCAAGGACCCCTCAGTTCTCCTCTTGGGGTCTTTCAATGGACTGATTATATAGGATAATCTCCTTTACTCCAAGTCAACTACTTAAGGTCTTTAATCACATCTACAAAGTACCTTCACAGCAACACCTAAATTAGTGTTTGAATGATTGGGGCCCGTAGGCTAGCCACATGGACAGGTAGAACTGACTGTCAGAGATGGCAAGCAAAAGAGTATATGGGTGATGGCAGGAGAGAGGAATTCGGGAGAGTGAAAGAAAGTAATCGGTTACACTCCATCAAAGTGGGATATGGACTAAACAAATTCAAGAATATCTGTGCTGAAATAAATATGGTTGATGTGACATAACTATGCCCTATAATTTCTAAGAAGCCAGGATACATTTCTCTGACAACAGGCAATTACTTCTCTGTATGTGTTTAAGGTGACTTGATCTGCTTTAATTTAAAGCACGGGAAGACGGCTTTATGTAACAGTGAATCAATCACCTTTCCCTTTCCTCCTCCTTGCAACTTGACTCGTACCCCAGATTTGCTTTTCTTATTCATCTTTGAATGTCTGTCAAGGAAAATGGTTTGTTACATTAATATAGTTCTAATGTTTTTCAGTTATGAATAGCTTTTCAAGGCTTAATGTAGCTTTTGAAAATTCCCTTATTACTGATCTAGGTATTATCACCATAGGAGCTGAAGTCATGAGACAATTTTATGGGGGTAATTTCTTGGCAAAGTTAGATTTTGTGCTACAATCCTGCTGGGTGCTACACACGTTGATGGATGACCCACTGTTTAATAGGACATTTTAGTGTTCATGTATGTGAGGAATGGATGTGCTAATTAGAGGCTTAGAAGAAAATTCTGCTTTATGTTGTAGAGTTTTACATATGGAATATCCCTTGTTCTGTCATTTTCTGTGGACTTTTTTTTTTTTTAGTGTGTTTGTCAAATACACAGTGAGGAAGTACTGAGAGAGAGAGAAAGAGAGAGAGAGAGAGAGAGAGAGAGAGGCGGGGGGAGAGAGAGAGAGACAGAGAGACAGAGAGACAGAGAGAAAGAAGAGAAAGAAGAAAAGGAAGAGAGAGAGAGAGGTAGGAAGAAAGAGAAGAGGAAGGAGGAAGAGGAGGTTTGAGAAAGCTACTGTTTGAAGGAGTTAAAGAAGATTTGGGAGTTGTTAGGACTTTAGATAGACAGGAAGGAAAGTACAAGAGGAACAGCTTAAGGACCTTTGTGAACAGAAATACACAAGTATTTTCATGAGCCAGTGAGACCACAGGTGATGACAGTGAGTTGGAAGGTAGTAGAAAATGAGATTTGCTGGCTTGGATGAAACCAGTTTGGGTCATACAAAGGCTAATGTTTATGGAAGGCCTGGTGGCTAGCAGGCAGACATTATTTGATGTCTGTCTGATGGCTCATAGCATCATTTTATAGATGAGGAAACAAGGATTCATACAATTCAAATTGTCCAATTTCTTAACGCAGAGCTAGAATTTAAACCCCGATCATCTGAATCCAAGTCTAGTCTTCCTTCCATGGATCAAGCAGAGAACTTTTTACTTGAACCACTGAAGCCTTTTGAGCAGGGGGTAATATGGTGACGTGGAAGATAAAAGGCAGAATGGAAAAGCAAAGAGACCATGTGATCGCCATAGTAGACTGCTGTTCTTGCTTTCTAGATCCACCCCCAAAGTCTTGTGGTCACTAGCTCCCACAAAATGCTAATGTGTTTATTTTAGTCTCCTAACAGAAATATACACTCTATATTCATATTATTAGAAAGTATTTACACTTCTAAGCTGTATAAAGAACTAATGGTCTTTTTGATTATATGAACCGAGTTTACTCATCATATGAATGGAATTATATTTCTGCAAGTGTTATTTGCTGGGATTTTTTTCTTGAGGTCTTTATTGGTATAGTTGCTAATGCTCAATTTCCCTAGGTAAATAGGTGTAAAATAATAATACATTTGAAACAGTTTCCTTATTGCAAATTTAGATTTGGATGGAGCCAGCCAACTGAATTATTCTGAGAATCTGTCTTATGGTGAAGATGACCCCATCTCTGCCCACTCACAGTCCCCATGTGAGGTGGGAGACATCAGGCACCATGGCACATCTTCTCGAGAGACCAGCGTGGTCCGCAGCCTCAGTCGCCAGTCCACAGAGGGCAGCTTGGAGATGGAGACAGCTTTTAATAACCGGGGACTTGAAGACTCCTATGCCACGGACAGCTCCTCTGTGTGGAGTCCAGAGGCAAGTTATTTGTTTTCCATTTTTTCTCGTTCGAGTATTGTGTCCCTTCTATCTTGTTCTTGTTCTCCTCCTCTCCCCCATTCCTCAAGAAAAAATTTCTACAGCAAAGAAGCATCGCCTTGAAAAACAAAGAACTAAAGAGTCTTTATTTGAAATAAACTTTTGTTCAGATGACCAAAGCCTGACCCCTGTGTGTACCAATAGAAGAATCATAAATATATTTCCATCAAAATGGAAATGAAAAAGGAGAATGGTAGCAGAATGGACCCAGCAATAATCAGGCTTCCTTTTTTATGTGAAGGAGTTTTAGTTCTTGAAGAGACTGATTTATTTCCTTCATGGTTCCAATTAAGTGGAATCTATTTTTATTTACCCCGTATCTTAAGTAATGATTATCTGAAAATGAGAATTATTTGAAAATTAAACTAAAATACAGTGGTTTTCTAAGTGAAATTATATAAGTATTGAGATGAGGATCTTATGATATGAGCATATTTGTTGGCTTTGAATTGAATTGAAGGTCTAGAAGGTGGCATTAGTGTGTAATGACCCTCTGGCCATTGACTTTGCTTTTTGGACCAAATCTGTGATAAAAAGCTGCTTCTCCTAAATTTATTTTTCAATTAAAACTTAATACAGAATACGCCTAACCAACCAGGGGTGTGACTAGAGGTGATGATGTTAGAAATTACAATTTATTGATCAGTTACTATGTGCCAGGCACTGTGCTAAGGATTTTACAAACATTGTCTTATCTTACAGGCATTTGCTATTCTTTATTAGTGAAATCCCTCTTATTATGATTCTGTGACAGTCAGAGATATTAAATAGTGATGTCTAATACTTACTTTGAAATTAATATTGATGAAATAAGTCATATAAATATATGAAACTTTAATATAATTTGTGGGGATAGAGGAAAGAGAGGGGTGAATGGAATTTGTTAGCAATCATCTGACAGAAAATAAACAGGATGAATCTCTTATTAGGACCTGGACTGTCATACACACCAAATGCTCATCAAGAAGAAGAAAAAACCCCCTAGAAAATCGTGTTCCAGAGCTTTCCTCATGCACTGGGGTGTGTAGAAGGAGTGTAAGGAGGTGTGCACGTGAGGTGTAAGGAGGTGTTTCTGCTAAGGACCGGAGATGGCAGCTCGAGATACGTGGTTTGTGGCTCATTAAAAGCTGCCTTTTATATAGAGACACCCAAAGCTATTAACCTTATCATTTTTGTAAAAAAAATTCTGCTTCTCTGCTGAGAGTCATACAGATCCTACACAGTAACGTTTAACATTTAAAAATATTCTTTTTGGCTCTCATCACAAAAACAAAACAGAACTGTTTACCTGCCTAGTGATGCTCCGTCCCCTGATCACTGTGCCATTAGGCTGAGAATCGCATTCTCCAGGTAACCACCCATCTGCCTGCCTCACGGAACTTTAATAGAAGACTTGGTGTTGAGGGCACTAAATGTTCTCAGACTCCAAAAATACCCAGACATCTCCGTGTGCTCCATTCAATCTCCTATCTATTTTGAGACAAAAACTGTAATTTGGTGCTCTTACAGTAGAACCTCAAATGCAGCTCAGAGGCAGTTCCTGTAACTGCCTGCTTGGCAGGCTTAGCTCGCCTTTTAAGAATTGATTTATTTGCCTCTTAGCTGTATTAAAAACCCTGTCTTCCCCCATGTATCTGGCATCGAGAACATGTTGTGGGTCTGTTTACTTTGGGCCACACAGATGACATCACTATCTTACTAAAACAATTTGTTAGAAAATCTTTAAACCTCCATGGGTTTTGACAATGGGGCACAAGTATTCCCATCTTAAAGAAAAACTCAACATTAGAGCTACAAGAGTCATTTATTTTGCCTCAGAAGGAACCAGTAACGCAGTGTGACTTCCTCTTAGGCTGGTGGGTTCTCTCCTGGGAAAGGCCACCAGCGTTTTCTGGCGGACCCAGGCCTCGGCAGGGAAGACGGTGGCAGGGCGACTGGTGGTGCTGAGCACGCAGGGAGGCAGGTGTCCCACTTTTCATCTCCGCTTTCCACTGATTAACTGCTTGGCCTTGAGAAGTTAATTAAAATCTGCCGAATGGGGATAAAAACGAAGAGATTTTTTACCTTGCAGGAAGGTCAGATGGATTAGCGGTGTTAACAGTACCACATGAGGCATGCCTTTAGTTGCCTGGTGATAGGTAAAGTGTGTTGAAATAATTAATTGCTTTGAAAATACCAGGCTTCACAAATCCTCATTTCAGATCAACCCAGGAAGGGGCCACAAATCCCACTTTTTATGGGCCACTACTTGGATTGTCCCCATCCAGAGCCTGGCCGCTGCCTGGGGCTGCTTCTTATTCAGTTATTTCCGAGTCCTTCCCACCCCCAACCCAGGACTTTACTACAGACCTGCAGGTGCAGTGGGCCTTTATCTGAATAGCTGATAGAAAAGTGGAGAGGTGCTCATTTACTAGGATATTTTAACCTTGGCCCTGAAGTTGATGACAAAACTGGGGAAGTGTTAACTCGTTTTAAAAGCAGGGGGCTAAAAGGATGTGAAATTTAAAGCAGTGAGTGTTTCCAACTATCTCTCATCTCGTTCCCTTCTTATTTCACACACTTACTATACATATAAATTGCTATGGTGAAAGCTTTGGAGGGGAAGAAGGGAGACATCATGGTTCGACATATAGTTTGGGATTTCAAGCATTAGTACTGGTAAATCCTGGATAGTCCTGGATGGGCATGTGATGTTGGGAGCAGGGAGTGAGTTACTCAGCCTTTCTAAGTCTTAGTTTCCTCCCCCACAAAATGGAGATATTAAAATACCTCCCTCGTTAGGTTAATGTGAATATTTTAAAAGATAATGTTTCTTAGCTGGATTTCCCAAAAAGCAGAGCCTACTTTGTTCGGACATGCAAGCCCAGGGAAGAGCAAGGGACAAAAGAGTGAGGCAGGGAAGAATGTGTAATCCAGTTGGCCACCACTAAGTGTGACTCATGGTTTGATCTTGTGGGACCGTACTCTAAGAAGCCGCATAATCTAATCTCAGGACATCTTTCCAAGGGGAGAAAAGTTTACTGCATGGAGCATTAACCTCAGCCACACTCTGACCTTTGTATATGTGAGAGCCAGGCAGGATTCTGTAACTTTCCAAGCCTTGACTTCAACATAGAGCCTGTGGTAGGAGCTGAGAATTACATTGCATGGCAGGAGGTAAGGCTGTGGGGTTGTGCCAGGCTGAAGCCACTTAGAGCTCAGACAGGCTGTGCCTGTCAGGAAAGATGGAACAAGAGGTGAAGCTAAGAAGGTTTGAAGTGCATAAAAGCGGTTTTTACAGTCTACAAAGTTTTTAGGGTGATACCTGGCATAAGGGAGGGTTTAGTAGATGTTAGACGTTATCACTTATGGTCCAGCAAGCGATGCAGAGATGATCAAGAGTAGGCTAGAATAGACGGGAGTTTTAACAGAAGACTATGCCTTGATTTTTGAGTTGGCCTAACTCCTTGGAGACTTGCTTCTAATATTATATCTACACTAGTCAGTTGTATTTAAAAGTCTCTATAGCAACCACTTTTATCACTTGAAACTAAGTACCTCTGAATAGAAACACTCACACACGAATGCATGCTCAGAGGAAAAGCTAAAAGAAGCTTCCTTTATTTTGCAAGAAGCCTAAATTTTCTTGGTAGACTAATGTGAATCTTAAGAGAGGGTATTTATTAGATGTCTCCTATATGTCAAGTCCTTTAATTTTCGCAACAACCCTATAAAGTAGGTATCATCCCCATTTTACTGTTGAAAAAGAAAAAAGGAAAGTGGAAAGGATTAAATACCTTGTCCAGCAGCATTAAGGTCGTCAGTGATGGACTTGGGATTCCTAAGGCTATCTCATTCTCAAGAGCCATGTACTTTCACCTGAGCTCCGTGGGAAAATTAAGCTGATACATGTGCATTTTTGAGATGTTTTATTAATACAGATTTTTTTAAAAAAAGGAGGTCTTTAAATTAGCAAAGTCTAGTTCCATTACATAAATAAGAACTGATTCTGATTTACAATTAGAAGCAGACCAAAGTTTAGTTATGCCTTAGAGTCATGCCTTCAGAGGAAAAATCAAATTAGGTTGACATTATTTATAGTGTGTTAGGTGGTTGCTCATTACAGTAAATGCAGTTCAGCTCAGTTTTCTCAGTGAGGTCATCAGATCCAACCGGCTACAGGTGAATTGCTGTCTAAGGGTGATATTTCATAATGAGGAGAGCCTGTTTGAAAATAGGTAGCACCAGTCTAGTGATGGAAATAGATATTTATGGAGTCTGGTCTGAGCCAGGTTTTTTCCCACGTCTATTAAAACTTCACAACAGCACTCTATCAAGTAGGCATCTTAATACTCTTTCAGCTAGAGTACAGACAGAATGGCCTATCTGGCCAAGGTCAAAAGCTAGTCAATGGTAGAGTTATGATTTCTGCTTGGCATTCATGTATATATTCAGCCCAGGTGTTCTGTCTCCAAGTCCAGTATTGCTGTTTGCTACATGGCTGCTGGGGGCAGGGGCGGGGTCCTCCTAAGCCCATGCTACTCAAAGTGTGGTTTGAAGTCAACTGTGACATCTTTACAACCTTCTGAGAAGTGCAGAATCTCAAGCCCACCTCAGTCCTACTGAATCAGAATCCTTAGATGATTCAAGCCCACATGAACATTTGAGAAGCTCTACCCCAAATCTTCTCCCATGAAGATTGAATATTTTCCATGTGGGTCACCTGTCCCCATTTTGTCAGGATTCCTGTGTTCAGGAGGTCCTGGCTCATAGAACACAGGCCCAGACTCAACCATTTCTCCTGGGGACTCAAGGAAGAGTTACCTCTTGGCAGTTGTGTAGTTGACTAATTTTAGACTTAGTATCTCAGCTGGTTTCAATTATATTGGTCAATTGTGTTTTTTGAGAGACAGTATATATGAAAATACTTTGCAAAATGTGAAAGCTTTGTTCATTCATTCCAAAAGCCTTTATGGAAATTTGTATATGTCAGGTACTGTGCCTTCAAAAAATTCTCAATCTACTGGAGAGATATACCAGTAAATTCAGTACAGATCCCTCTAATATAGGGATTATACTAACAGTCAAAAAGTGTGGGGTTCTGAAGGAGCACCAAAGGGACCCATCTTGCCAAAACATAAATGGGCATTATCATTTCCATTCCTAATCTTTTCCTCTGTCTGCAACAGGAGCAGGGTGGGACCAATTTTCAGGTGCCATCTGGGGTCCCGGAACCCATCTCAAAATGTGGTGACATGGATGTCATCTTTGAATATAGAGCTGCCAGCCAGAAGCTCACAGTGACCATTGTGAGAGCACAGGGCCTCCCGGATAAGGACCGAAGTGGCATCAACTCCTGGCAAGTACACGTAGTGCTGCTGCCCAGTAAAAAACAGAGGGGCAGGACGAGCATACAGAGAGGCCCCAATCCCGTCTTCAAGGAGAAGGTCACCTTCACCAAGCTCGAGCCCAGAGATGTGACTGCCTGTGCCATCCGCTTCCGCCTGTACGCTGCCCGCAAGATGGCCCGTGAAAGGGTGATGGGAGAGAAAGTCTTCTATCTCAGCCGCCTGCACCCAGAAGGGGAGACAAACGTGACTCTGGTTCTGGAGCCAAGAAGTAATATCAGTGTGAGTATGTTAAATGGCACCACTAATGATGTGGCGTGTCCGAGGGGATGGAATTGTCAGCCCTTGGTTTAGTACATTCAGCCAGTGAATTCAAACACCTTAATTGAATTTTCTGTTTGATTCTCCTTATCTTTGTAAGCCATGATTTACACTTTATGCTACAATGGTTTTTTGTGCTGTCTTCCCTATAACCTGCTGGATGTATTCCCTGTTCAGTTTAGGAAATTACAGCACAGTGAGGGAGAGGGCGTGAGAAAACCGACGGAGGTGGCTAGGCCTTCTGGTTAGCTAATAAATGGTTCTACCACCCATCCCGCCACCCTGCCCCTAGCATGCTTTATGATGAATCTCAGAGATAGGACTCTCAAGATAAAGGCCTTAACAAGTGTGCCTGAGTATGCTGCAACAGTAACCCCGAACTCGAACCACTTCTAAGACTTTCCATTTACATCACCTAGCTCCTCCATGTGCTCCATCCCCTGCATCCCCTGGGGTTTTAAGGAAAGACAGTGGAGGATGTGTGTCTATGGGATGGGCAACCCATTGTTACCATGGGTTATGTGTCATCTAGTGTAAATATCACCTTTTAAAAACCATTTAAAAAGATCAGGTATCTATTTTGGGCTATTGGATCAATCAGTCATCCATTCAAAAATGTTTGCTGAGTGCCTACTCTATGTCAGTGCTGTACAGGCAAAGGGGATGCAGGAAAGAACAAAACAGATGATGCCTCTTTCCTCGGGGAGCTTTCAGTCTGGTGGAGGAAGGCGATAGTAGGCAAACCAGGGCAGGCCAGGAAAGAGAATGACAGGCTGCTCTTTGTTTGGAAGAGTCAGAGAAAGTTTCTTTGAGGTAGTGATAAAATACTGAACTTAAGGAATCAAGCGTAGAAGGCTGGTGACATAGAGAGGACAAGATTTTAGACAGAGAGAATGGTACATGCAGGTGTCAGGAGGTGGGAAGGCGCTTGTCATGTCTGAGGAAGAGATAAGGAGTTGGGAAGGCTGGAGTGTGATGATGGGAGCTCCAGCCACTTAAATTTTTAATAGATATCTCAAAATTAATATCTCCAGGCTTCAAATCCTGAATTTTGCCTCCCTAAATCTAGTCTTTTCATCTTGGCTAAATGTAATGTCATCCTTTCAGTTGCTCGGGTCAAAAATCTTAGAAGTCATTTGTGTCTTCTCTCCTTCCCACCTGAAATCCTTTTGACTCTATCTTCAAAATACAACCAGAATTGGACTATTAAAATAGCCTGGATTATTAAAATAGCCTCCTAATATTCCCCATGCTTCTGCCTTTGCCCCTTCAGACTATTCCCAACATGGGGGTGGGGTGCAGGCAGGGGACGGAATTAGCCTTTTAAAACATAAGATAGATCGTGTCTCATCTCTGCTGAAATCCTTTTTATCTTAAGCTCTGAGTAGAGTATATCTGAATTATGGAAAACAGAAGCCACAGAAGGAATCCTGCACTATAAAGCTTAGGGAAAAGTTTGATCATACTCCCGTTTCTCTGTGCCAGGCCCTGTGCTGTGTACTAGGAGCATGGAGTTGAGTGGGAAAAATGAATCCTTTGAGAGTAAAAAAATTTTTCCATTCATCGGTTATTTCTTGAACATGATTTTATGCCAGACATTGGGCTGTGCACTGTGACCTGAGAAATTTATAAGGATTCAGATTTGATGGGAAAGGCAAACTATGCAGTGATAGGTACCCTAATAGATACTTCCGTAGAAGCACAGGGAAGGGGGTGATCCTCACCCCAAACTAAGCTAGTATTCTATTGTTGGATTATCATCATCTACTAGGGGCTACAAAGCACTCATTAAAACCTCCCAGCCCTATAGTTTATAAATTATATTCCATGAAAACCCAGGATTCCAGGTGCCCATGGCTTGGTAAACAAGATATTTTCCTACAGATGTGAAGAATATTTAATTTTTTTGAATTCATTTATTCATTGGAGTTCTGATAAGAAGTTTCAGGAAATGATTTTAGATGTTGAGAAGAAAGGTGTGAGTAAAGTCCAGTGCAGTTGTTTCTGGTACAGGAGGTGATGGCTCCAGGAGGCTGGCTGGTTCGCCCCTCAGGGTTGATTCCCATGCCCCCTTCCTGGGTGAAAATCAACTTGGTGATCTACTTTGCTCTCCTCCTCCTGACGTGTCTGATGCATGAAGGTTGGTGCTTTGGAGAAGTGTGCATGGGAATAAATGTAACAGAAAATACGACTCTCCCCCGGGTTCACCTGCTGCCTGTTGGGTGTCTGAGATCCACAGCCCATGTGTCGGCTTCCTTATCAAATCATGGTAAAAGTGCTCATTTTCAATATAATTGATTTCCTTTGGAGTAAAAATGTAGCATCTGGCATTTTAAGAAGCAGATCTAGAGGCCAAATGTTCTATGTGGTGGTAGATGTCTAGTGGTCATTTCTCTTCTAGGGAAGACAAAATGTCCCCTGTATTGCTACATTCATCAAGAAGCTGCGGAAAACAGAAACAGAGCTCATGCATGGAGAAAATGGGTTCCATAGAAACCTTCAAGCACAAATTACACAGGAGGGAATTGGGGTCTATATTAAATGTATTATTAGCTCTCCACGTATCTTAGAGGGTTTGATTTACACTGGTAATAACACCTTTGTTCATTTTGTCTTTAGAGAGGAAATATTGAATGGAGACAGCTCTTGAAACAAAGATGTCAGCTAATAATGCAGGGGCTCTCATCCATGACTGCACTGCGCTCCCCAGGCCCATTATCATTCACGCCGAGTGCTCCCTTCCTTAGTAATCTTTGGCAGCAGTTGAGATTGGGCCACAATTTCACCAAACATAATATCAGCTTTCTGTAAGAGAGCAGTGCAGCCTGGGCCAATGGATTCTTTGTTTCTCTTCCCCTCCAGAGTGCAGAGTCTCCGCTCAGCCCATCTGCCGTTTCTCACAGCGATAGTGCTTCATCCACGCAGTCGCTGTCTCATGGAGGGGCGCCAGAGCTGCTGGTGGGGCTGTCCTACAATGCCACAACGGGGCGATTATCTGTGGAAATGATTAAAGGCAGCCATTTCCGAAACCTCGCTGTTAGCAGAGCGCCTGGTAAGTGCATGTCTGTTCCCCGAGCTCTGCTCCTGCCAGGGGCACCTAGGAAGCTGTGTCTGCTTTCATCTTAATTCTTTCTCTTTTACAATAAAAGTAATCTTGGTATGGCTTAGATGAGTTTTTACAAAGGGATACCTCTGGATTTTTTAATTGCCTTTCTATTTAATTAGATTGGAGGCTTCTTCAATGTCTGGATATATCTTAACATGAAATAGGCTGACCTCTATGTGTACATTGTTTAAGGGAAAAGAATGCTCTCTTTCCAGCAACATAATGAGTATGGGCAATTAAAATCTGCTAATAGGTCCCAGGCCCTCAAACGCCTTTAAAGAGGAGGAACTCAGGCATTGGAGTGAGGCAGATCTGGGATCAAAGTTTAGCTCTACCTGCTTATCCACTAACTTTGCTCTGATTTTCTATAATATAACTCTTTTTTTCTGAATCTCAGTAGACTCATCTGGAACAAAGGAATATCAACACTACCTTCCTTATGGGGTTGTTTTGGGGCAAAATTAAATGATTTCTGTAGAACATTTAAGCATAGGGCTGAACACATAGTGAGCTTACTAGAAATGTTACTGGTCTTGGTATTGATGGAGGAGGAGGTGGAAGAGAAAGATTTAGGGCAATACAGGACCGACTCACTACTTCTGAGATCACCACTGGAAAGAGAGGCTCAAGACATACTTTAATAGCTGTGGTCCAGAGTTCAGGAAGCCAGAAAAGGAAGCAGCTACTGCCAGCTGTCTCTCCATACCCAAGAAGTTGGACATGGAACACTGAAATGATGCTGCTAAGAAATGAGCTCAACTTTAATGATCTTGCATGTCAGCAAAAACAGCTTAAAAGCGGGTAGGAAGATGGTTTTTGCTTCTGTTCTGCCTTCTGGATGTCATATAAGTACATCTGATCAGAGAAACCTAATTTATTTCTAGAATTCTAGCTGCAAGAGAGTCTGAAAATGTTGTTGAATTTCTAGTCTTTGAGTATAGCAGGGTAAACTAGAAGGGAGGAGAGTAGAGGACAAGTGAGTCTGTCCCCCATAGGCACCAAAGCCTTACTGAAATGAGGATGAAATCAGTAAGAACATGGTAAGCTGCAAGAGTCAATGGACTCTAGCCTCACATGCCAGCATCAGGCGAAGAGCCAGTAGAGCTGGTAGAAGAAGGTCAGCTTGTACAACCAAATCTGGTCTCTCACTCTTTTTAGCTTTTAACTGTGCTGCATTCCACAAAATCTCTGTTCAGTGATATCTTGTTAGTCAATCTGTATTAAAGCCATTAGAGCAAGTTTATAAGGAAAGGCCCAACACTCTGGATGACAGAATAGACAGGTGCATAAGCCATATTCTCTGTTGAGGCTCAGAGCCAGGTGAGAGCTATTTAAAATGCATAACGAGTGATTATTAATTGCACAGGTAGAGTCTCTTTGCAAGATACAGCTTTGTTTTTTAAAATAGCTCTGGATTTCTGAAAGATCTGGGTTTACTGCTTGTCCTTCTTCAGAGCTTTTAACAGTCTCTTTCCAATTTGGTGAGATCTGAGCAATTTTGGGGGAAGAACATGGTGGAGCTGTGAATGATGGGGAGACAGATCACACATTTATGGCCCATAAAATGCATACTGGGAAGCTTTAATTTGTATGCTGAGTGGTGCCAGGCAGCGCAGGGGAGAAGGATAGTACGGTGGCTAAGAAAGCATCAGCTGGAGGTCAGCAAACTAAAGTGTGAATTCAGGCTCTTCCACTTAGTAGCTGTAAGTTACTAAGCTTTCTGAATCTCAGTTTCCTTATTTATAAAATGGGGTCATAATAATATATACTTTCTAAATAAGATTACTGCATATAAAGCTGTGATGCTGAGGATGATACTATTGTACTTTCATACATTTCTATATGAAAGAAGATATGCTAAAGGGAAAATTCTTGTGACAAAAGTTTAAACGGAATAGGAAGAAAAAGGCACAAGTCCTAATTTGGAAATTGATCTTATTCCAGAAGTTTAAGTCAGTTTGGCATTTACATGATTTTTTGTAGACATTGTGTTGCTATTTAATTTAAAATGTAACTGATATGTTGTATGTATCTTTGCAACCAAAGTAATAGAAGACAGTGTTGCTGTGACGCTATTAATTAAAACAGAAACCCAATAGTGAAGACATAAATTTTTTGTTTATGTAGAATACTGGTACTTGTGGAAAAGCTAGCTTAATTAAGAGAAGTTGAGTCAGTAGAAGGTTCTTTTGTGGAGATTCTGAAAGAGACCTCTTGGTACTTTCAAGGGCTTTAGAATTTGGTGGCATTGGTTCTTCATTGTGTCTCACTTCATTATACCACTAACACTGCTTTGGCAGTCATCAGGCAAGCTTAGGATACATTTATAGTTCCCATATGGAAGAGAACAAGAGAGAGAAAGGATGAGGAACAAGAGTTTTATGAGGTAACTGAGCAGAGTTGGAGGAAAGAGGGGGAGAAGGAGAGAGGATGCAAAAGCAAATGGGGGGATAAAGGGGATCGACAGTGGGAGATGGCAGAGAAATCCTGCCAAGTGCACTGGTCTCTAGGGTGGAGGTAGAGGGTGGGCAGGAGGTGGGACCGAAGCCCTATTAGAGTCCACCATGAAGGAGGTGACTGCCAGCATATAGACATGTGTAGGAACGTGTGTGCGAGGGTTACAAATATTGTGCTTGGGACTTTTGGCACAGGTGTGATTATCTCCTCTGCAAAGAGGAAACATCAGTCCTACCTTATAGGGCATTTATGATAATGTGAAGAATGGTTCTTAGTGAAGCATGAAGTAAAATAGGCTGAGAGCCTGAGTGTAGATAGATGCATAGATATGTGAATAAGCAAACTGTCTTAGCTCATGCTGCTATAACAAAAATACCATATAGACTGGGTGGCTTAAACAACAGAAACTTATTTCTCACAAATCAAGGTTCCAGCTGATTTGGTTCCTAGTGGAAACCATCTTCCTGGTTTGTTGACAGACAGCTTCTTGATATGTACTCACATGATGAGAGCAAGAAATCATCTCTCTCATCAGGGCACTAATCCCATTCATGAGAGCCCCACCCTCATGACCTAATCACCTCCCGAAGGCCCCACATACCATCACACTTCCAAACACCATCACACTAGGGATTAGGTCTTCAACATATGAATTTGGGGAGGATATGTATATTTCAGCCCATAGGACAAATGGAGCAACATATAACGATTGAAGAATCTAGGTGATGGTTATATGGGTGACCACTGTACAATTATTTCAAATTTTCAATGCATTTGAAACTTTTAGTTATAAAATATTGGCCAGAAAGAAAGTAGTATGGAATAGTTCAGCTGCGTCAGGAGGATAAAAATAAAACAAGAGTCTTAGCCATAGATAAGGATTTCTGTGGTTGGCATTACATTGTTTTTTATTATGATGACATCTGAAGGTCCAACCCTCTTCCCCTGACCCAACCTTGGACAGGGTGGACAGGGTACCAAGCAGCTGAACCTGAGGACATTTGCTGTAGTATCCTCCATAAACCATATTCATACCAAGAAAAAGTATGTGGCTGGACATTTCTAACTTTTCTAACTTTAATCTTTTCTCTACCCATCTAATACATAGAAGACAGATGAGAGATAGATATATATATATAGATTTTTATATCTATCTACATATCATTTAGTACATTTAGTCGGTGTTTATAAATATTGTGACGAATGCTGTTAAGATGATACAGGCTAATCTACAGATCTGGTGGCAAGGGATAGTCGTACATGGTAGATGGTCCAGATGAAAAAGCAGCTTATAGTGTCTGGTAGACATCTGAAATACTGGCATGCATTTACAAATGCTTTTGAAAAAGTTACTGTTGAGAATCTGAAACATTTGATTATCTTTTGAATTTGGCTTCGTGGGAAAGCAGTTCACTAACAGTTTAGCAGCTCTGTTCTGTTTTCTTTTCCTGGGCCTGCCACCAAACACTGCATGGCCTTGACATTTGTTTTAACCTCTCTGAATTTCATTTCCTTCCCTATTAAATGAGGTTAACAAGCTAATGTTACCGATACAAGTGCTATGTTTTTTTTTAAAAAAATGTTAGCTATTCTGTTGGCAGGTTCTCTTTCTCCATCTCCATTTTTACTATGTCTCCTTCTACAATGTGTTACTGCATTGTGTATATATACACATATAATGGTTCTTGTCAAAAACTATCATTAAGCTGTCCCCACCAGTTAAAAACAACAAGTTCCCCAGCCTCTCAGCATGTGCTTGATTAGCCACATGTGATAATTGCATCCCAAATAATAATACTTACAGCAGCAGCATATTAACTTTGTTAGGCACTCACAAAGTACAGAGAGCAGAGGAAATAAAAATAAGACAAGTCAAGCTGCCGTATGTTTAGTGTGAAGAACAAGTAGGATGTAGGGGGTACACTCTACAGATAAAGTCAGG